CCATCATTGTTGTATGGTGGGCCCGGACTGGATTCAAACCTGCCACCTTAGGTATATGTGGCTGGCGCCTTAGCCACTTGAGCCACAGGCGCTGAGCCGCTGGAACCTTTTATAAGGAATTTTTAGGCTAGACTTCACAAAAGCCCAGGTTTCATCTGTGCCATTAGATACCTGTATGCATTGGGTAAATTCTTCTTCTCTTGAGATCCCCTAGCACACTACCATTCCCAGACCTGTCAGCAAGTGACCTTCGTTCGTCACTCACCACAGATCAGGAAAGTTTACTGATGGGTATCTGGCCAGTTTTCCAAAGGGCTTTTTCATTGGCCTTATAAAGTCAACCTTAATTCCTTAACACAGTCTAGAAATGATATTCCAGCCAAAGCCTTGGTCATGTTAGGCCCACAACTAACCCAGCCATATGGGATTCTGTCTCAGTTTCTCACAAGTGTGCCTGCACAAAGTCTTTTCACTGCTCTCTCTCAAACGGCGTTTTTGGCCAGAGGCATATAGGCATTTTGCCTATACTGAGGTAAGAGAATCGCTTAAGCCCAAGAGTTTGAAGTTGCTATGAGCTGTGACACCCTGGCACTCTACCAAGGATTACAAAGTGAAACTGTCTCAAGAAAAGAAAAAAATATTAAAGGAAAGACTGGTTTTTAAGGCAGTTTTTGTCTGTAATGTAACAGTCTTCTGTAAAGGACAACCTAAGAACCTGCATTCTGTTGTTTTGCTTTTTACTTGTTTTTAACAGAATTATTAAATATAACTGACATTTAATAAACTACATGTGTTTAGTGTGCATAATTTGGTAAGTTTTAACACATACGTGTGTGAAACCATTATCACAGCCAAAACCTCCGAGGGAGGGCTTACAAAGTGTCATGCTCATGGCTCCTTGTGAACCTTTCCTCTTGTCCCACCACCCCTTCCCAAAGCAACCCCTGTTTTGCTTTCTGTCACCCTAGATTAGTTTACATTTTCTAGAATTTTACATAGGTGGAATCATAGAATATGCACTTTTTTGCCTGGTTTCTTTCACTTATTTTGATATTGGTCCATGATGTTGTGTGTATTGAGAGTTTATTCTGGGCTTGGCGCCTGTAGCTCAAGCGGGTAAGGCACCAACCAGCCACATACACCAGAGCTGGTGGGTTTGAATCCAGCCTGGACCTGCCAAACAACAGTGACAACTATTAAAAATAGCTGGGTGTTGTGGCAGGCACCTGAATCCCAGCTACTTGGGAGGCTGAGGCAAGAGAATCACTTAAGCCCAGGAGTTGGAGGTTGCTGTGAGCTGTGATGCACTCTACCCAGGGCAACAGCTTGAGACTCTGTCTCAAAAAAATAAAAATTAAATGAAATTTTAAAAAGAGAGAGTTTATTCTGGGTTTTTGCTATACAGTATTCCATTATGTATATATACCACGGTTTATCCAC